GGAAATGGTTTCCAGTCCTTTCCAGCATGCGCGGAGCATGCACCAGGGAACACTACGGTGATATGGTAGATTTCTGCTCTTTCTATTTATGCCTTACCTGATGAAAAGAAAAAGCTTCCCCTGTGAAGGATAGTGAGCATGGGTGAACGTACGATCCTGAGCGAAGCCATTTTCTATGAAGCTTATCTTGAGAAAAAGAAAAAGAAAAAGAAGAATTATCCTCAAATACTACCCACTTCATGACAAAGTTCCATCAATAATCAGTTGGGTGGTCAACTCTTGATCCTAGTTTTCCTCTTTTAACTCATGCATACAATCCTAGTCCACCTTCTAGAGCGGATTAATGACATAAAAATAGTGCTTAGTAACTTTGCCCTGATCGATATTGATCTCGTGAATGGTGAATTGGATGGAATTGCATGGACTTGGTAATCATGGCGATGTTTCTCCCGCTGTCAGGGATACAATGCTTCTAAATCGATTTTCGCAGCGTTGCCGGTTGATCGATTGATAGTCGGACTTGTCAAAGTGAATGGCATAGCGGAAGGACCTTTTATACTTCTCATGTGCGCCAAACATGTCGAATCATTAAGAAGGATGCAGTCATTACAAATCAAGTGCTTTCGCATCACCACCACATCCCTACGGGATCGAATTAGTTCTACTCGTTCATTTTCTGGGAAAATAAGCATAAATTAAACTTTTCCCTTAAGAATAGCAATGGTGGTATGGTTGTTTTGAGATGGCCCACCATCGGTTTAAGCATGAGTCATGGTAGTCCATCTCAAGGGACAGAGCCTTCATAGCTTTTTTTGAGAGGAGAAATCCGATACCTGGTATCTTTTCAAGGGACGGTAGCATGTGACGTCAGTCATTGGTTTGGCGCTTCGTTCAGAAGCAATTTTTCGGGTTTTGTTTGTCGAATCGTCACCGCTGCTGCTGCTCGTGGTTGTGCTTTGCTATCGATGTCATGTCAGGGTTTGCCTAATACCTCAGCGAGGCCAACAATCCGATCAGTCAACTGCCCGCTGACACTGTCAGTCACTTGGCGGCATTTTGGGAGTGAGCGTGATAAAGGAAAGTAGTTCGGAGAATCAGAACATATTGTCTAGGCGAAGCATTTAGTGGCAAATCCGGTTAATGGCTTCTCAGAGGGGATGAAACAATGATGACGCCGTTGTTAGCGCAAAGGTGTCAGTTTTTAAGGCTCGGCGTGGTGCCCTTGAAGATTTTTTTTTTGATTTTATGTCTTCTTGGCTCTATTTCTCCTCCTACAGCCACGATGGAAGCAGTTTCAAGAATTGGTATAAGAAGGGTCAAATAAGGAAAACGGGAACCATTAGTTGTGACAGGGTTTTGTTCTTATGAAGAGGAGGAAGAGGATCATTCATGTGATAGGTGCACCGGTTTCATTTTCAGTTTAAATCGATTTGGTGAATATCTCACCTCTCCCCAGTGAGATCGCAATTCGTTTTTATTTTTATCTGAAAGGGTTACGAAACACGTGTACTCCCCCATTCACGGTTGTAGTTGAAGTTTTTATTTCGGAGAATTCATATTGATGAAACGAAGTGCTGGTGATCGATTCATGTTCCACACAGCGCTGCGTTTGTGCGCACTAAGCAAAGGCGGCATCGGTTTTGTGTCTCGTTAAACGAGCAGGCAATGTCTCGTTCGGTAATTCCATTCTATGTGCTGGAGCACTGAGATGACGTTTGTTAGAGGAGAGGGGCGTGCCGCAGTCGGGGCGGCTTCGTTCGGTGACAGAATTACATTATGCGCGTCGTCCGTTGAGGGGAAAGGAGAAAGAGGAGCAGAAGGCCCAATGGAAAACAATTATGGAGCATCGCGGCTGTGCCGAGAAACGAAATAGGAGCGGAGCACGTGAGGTTTGAAGAGGGATCGATTCGCTGCAATTTTGGACGTGATTTGGGGACCCTCCACATTAGAGAGCATTTTTTAGAAGAGAAAGGAATCGTACGAGATCGTTTAGGGCTTTCTGCGAACCTGAGATCTGGGTGAACCTTCATGATCTGACCAATCGACATTTTTCGATGTTCCCTTTAATCTTGATTTATAACTGAACTCACTAAAATAAATTTTATTCAGTTATTTTTCTCGAAAATAACTAGTTTTACTCAAGATAGCGTCTTATCCATACTCCAACCATTGGTTCTTTTGCGGTGTATCGAGTTTGAACTTTTGAAGCTTTTTCTATGCCAATAAAATAGTATTGGGATTGAGTAGGCAATAAGGTACTTTTGATGAAGGACCGAAACAAACCATAATTTTTCGTTATTCCTTTTACAAGTGGTTTCAGACATTCGGGTTTACGATAAGCTTTGTTATTCTGAGACAAAGCGCGGGGATTATATCGGAAATAGCACCTCACAAGTACTACTTTGAATCTCCCTTGGATCTAGATGGTAAATGAACGAGTCTGCCCTCGGCGGAAACTTGCGTAGGAAAGAAAAGGGGAAAAATCTTTCATTATTGTGAAAATTCGGCCAAAAGAAAGAAGACTCCATCTTTTAGAAACCGTGCAGTTGCCGATTATCTCCAGAATTGTGGCTACTTAGAGTCGTTGCAGATCTTCAAGCAAGAAGCAAGCTTGGTTAGTGTCTCATTATTTATTTCTGGGCTAGGCGGTCATACTCTTTTTCTGGAATTTCGATGCCACTCATATTTCAGCTATTTCACTATTTTTTCTTGGTTCTTACGTGCCTTTCCATTTACGAAAGGGCAATTGGCCGGTATGTTTTGAAGGAGAATAAAATTCCAATCAGGAGAGTCTGTGGGAGAAATAAAATGACTGGTGCAAATGATTTCTCTAGACAGCGATGTTTTTTTCTTTTGTTTTTTGCTCGTTATCCAATGAGCAATATCTCGTAACCCCACTGCAGTTATTTCGAGTTATAAATGGCTAGAATGCGAATCATTCCTTTTCATTCGCTTTGAGTAACGACGCAAGTACATGTCTTTCGGTATTTAGAGTTCGCAAAATGATCACAAAACGATGAGGCGAAATCCTGGGACCGCAAAGAAGTGACATCGGTGGTGCTGCAGGCCTACCAGAAAACAGGGGGCAGTGGAGGTTTCATTCCTTGAATGGACGAAAGTTTCTTGAACATGTCATTCTCTGCGTACGTCGCGGGGCATGCGCGCAGTAGTTCTCACATGTGAAATTTGTGCATGGCCTGGTGTGGGCGTCGGTATTATTCCCTCCAGCGAATGTTTTGTAGTATTTGGAGAACAATTTTTAGAGTATGTGGGATTTCGCTGAGCAGCACATCTCAGAGCGCCGGGAGGCAGGGTGCGCCGCGGGTAAAGGAGACCTGTCAAATGTTACTCAAGTTTACACTAGGAATAAACCGTTCGGGAAGTCGTCAAGGGTGAAACTTCGCGTTCGACATTTACATAGTAATGTTGCTGAGTCAGTCAGCAGCCAAATCCGATGTCTTATCAGGACTGTGAGGTCAAAGTAGGGAGGAATCGGAAGCAATAATGCGCATGAGGCCGGTTGGATGCTGAGTTCCCGATGGTAAAGGCAAGGTAAAGACAAGATCCTGAGCAGAGGAATGGCTATTTCTCGGTAGGAGACAAGGCAGAGCCGGACACAGGTTCAGATACAGTTAAGCTTATCAGCACACAATTGTTTATGCAATTTTAGCGCGATTTTTGTATTCTTGCAGAGTCGCTGTAGCAACCGATCATAAAACCTTCGTTACCGTTTGTTTGCGCAGTTTAAAACGCCACTCATTGAAGAGATAGGAAACAGGCTGGCTAAGAATAATTGGCTAAGAATTGGCAACACTTCCCTTCTAGAGACAAAGAAGAGATCTTCAGTGAAGAGTTCTCTTCCCACACCTCCATAACTTAACACCATGACAATATGTGTCCTTGAAGTATATGTGGCGTGGAGAAGCAAGCTTGGACAAATCAGAGGACATATGCTATCTGCTGCAAAAAAGGTCTTACGTAGCGCATTCGTGCGAGTCTGCAGGATATTTGAGCGCCAAATGTGACGAATATCACATGCGTCGAAATTAGTATGAGTGTGAATGTGTAAAGAAACGTGCATGGCGTTGGAAAGGGGTGTGGGCAAGTGGGGAGATGTGATAAGCGTTTTTTCTCCAGAGCACACTAAAGATGGTTGATTTGCTGCCTTTCCTCACAAGTCCATTCAGTTGCAAATGATTACTGTTTTATTCACTTGTGATTTTTGGTTTTTTCTACTTCTGAGAGGGGCTCCTTTTCGAAATTTTCCTTTGGATTTAAGCTTTGAGGTCACACGTCACTTTTCTTTGTGAACACCTTGTTGATGAGAGTTTCTCCTCCATTATTTAAGACAGAAAAGGATTCAGTCGTGTATAAAGCCTTTTTGATTCAACTGTCATCCTGCGATGCCCGTTAATTTTTTATCACTAGAAAATAGCGCGTTCAAAAAACACTAGTGTCGCCTGATGTCGTGTCATTGTCCCACACAGGTGTCACCCGGCTTCGCGTGCCGTGGTCGTGAACCTGGTATGATGCGTTAAGGATTATTGTTTCGAAATTTGTCTGAGGTGTCACCATCAGAAATTTATCATGTACTCCTGATCAGCATGGGATACGTCATCTTTTTTCAGGTTAATGATCTCGAAGCAAAATTGGCTGAAGCAGAAAAAGAAATTAATCACGGTGCACCGTCAAGGTTAGAGACTTTTTGAAAGTTTTATCATTGTGTCCGGGCAATTCATCAACAATTGTTGCTTTTTAGAGAACCTTTTAATGTTTTTTTTTTGTTGCTGATTTTTTTCTTCTTTTTTTCTATTTGATAATAATGAGATGTCTTGATGCGCTGATACTCATTCTTCAAAGCAGTACAGATGGAATATCTTGTTTCTAGAGAAGAACGGCCCTGCGTGCGTGATATTCGTCGTCACCGGAGGTCGATATGCCCCTTACTGGACGATCGGCCCCGATTTACTCGTGTAGATGTTCATCCTGTTGGAGTGTGTATGGCGAAGTTGGCAGCTAAATATCTACTCTCCAGTGAGTGTCTTACCAAGCGATCAACTGCCATCTGCTGTATACGTGATTTCTCAAATACTATGTTTGCTCGGCATCTGGATAATTCTCGCCTGCGACAGCCTAACGCAATCTGCTTGTACAGCAACTTCACCCAAACTTTATAGGGGCTTGCAGTTAGTGCTCTTTCCTGTATTTCCTGCTCTACTGTTATATATTGATGATCATATATGTTCTGTCCGCTACTGTTTGGTAAGCAGGGTTTTCTCTTTAAAATATCGCATTATAAAAGGTAGTTTCACTGATTGCATTTTTTTTTTAATATGCCTATGGCAACTGGTGTTGTAATTGTGGATTGTTTTATGGCGTTATCAGAATATGCTACTTCCGAAGTCGAGTCGCTAAAAGGCATGAAATACGAGCGAATAGAGCTTTCTTATAAGCTGGTGTAAATTGCACGAGATGCTGAGCACTGCGACGCTGTAAAAGCTCGCTCTTCCCGACAATTTTCCCCGGCCGAGTTGTTTGCATAAATCATCATAGTTATTGAAATTGGTTGATGTAAGGGTCCAAGACACGCTGGTTCTATTCTGGCCATATTGCATTCAATCGATATTAGGTATTGCAAAATTTTGACCTCGGAGTTAGTTTGCGCGGTAGAACGCGAACCCACCACCCACTCGGGGTGAAAGTGCCTGTCACCCGGAACATAGGCGTCGGTGCCAAACAAATGTGAACGTGTTGCTGGCATTGGTGCCGGAACCAGCGCTTTTGCAAACGAAGGTGTATCCGTGCTTGGCCAGGTGTATCCGTGCTTGAATTACCTCTGAGAGCAGGTTCTCAACGATGGTGACCCAAGCTATCCTTGGTGCAGGTGCTTGCGGGGAAGGCACCGGCTACTTCTTCACCAAATGTATTTGGTACTCTTGTATTAGGGATCAGGCTACTCTCGTAGTGAATATTCTTTTTCAGCAAATCTTACCGCCTAGACAACTTTTGAGAAAAGTATAGCCCACGTATCAAAAAGTGTGGTAATGAAAGGTAAAAGTGTTGGTGCATGCACCTAAGAACCAGCACCTGAGTCTTGTGAATAGTTCATAAAAAATGCAAGTTTTGCTCTTTCATTCCTAGATTACTCGCCATTGCAGATATGGGACTACGAAACTGGTGAATTCGAGCGCTCACTGAAAGGTCATACGGATTCGGTGCAGGATATTGCTTTCGACAAGACCGGGAAAATGCTTGGTACGTGTTTTACTGAACCATTGCGTTTTACTGGTATATAAATGCTTAAAGCGATGGTTAATAGTTGCGGCAAATTCTGCAACCCCTGCTTTACGACTCATAAATTACTCATTAAATGCATATGCAGTCAAGTGCATCTTTACAGCGCACGCTTGACCGTGCTGATGGACATCGATTAGCTGGTGCTGAATCAATTCATCCGGCAAAATGATTGGTGTTGTGGAAGAAAAGTTCATTTCAGTCTCGTGCTCGGCTGATATGTCGATCAAAGTGTGGGAGTTTGGCGGCTCATACGCGTGCGTCAAAACATTGAAAGGTCACGATCACAATATTTCATCTGTTTGCTTTTTGCCCTCCGGTGACGCAATTCTATCAGCGAGCAGGGATCACACCATCAAGCTGTGGGAGGTGAGTATTTGTCAAGATAGCTGTTGTCTCTTATAGCATGTAGTATTTTTTGACGAAGGTGAGGATAAGGCGGAGCAAGCTCCAACAAGGAACATAGGTGTCTGTTGTTTTTTCTTGGCAGTGAATGAATTGGGGGAGCGGAGAAGGGTTGTCCCAAAAACGATGAAAGAGAAATTATGGGTTCAATGTGTTGAACTATTGAAGTTTTTTCGAGACATTCCTAGTAAGGCTCAAATGCGTTAGATTTATGGTTGAATTTTTGATGGTGTGCCTACCATGATTGATGGAATAGGCTTTTGTATGCAGCTGTGGTTTTGTGATTCTCTCTTATATCCTTATTTTAGGTAGCTTCCGGTTATTGTGTGCATACATTCCGAGGACATTCAGAATGGGTACGAATGGTGCGGGTCTCACCAGATGGCGTACTTTTTGCCTCCGCGAGTAACGATCAGGTAAATGAGGGTATTTTTTGCTGGACTCATTTCGACCGACAGACGTCATCAAAGAATTGTAAGAATATTCTCTGGTTTTTTCGGCGGAACTTGACATTGAAATATCTGTGAGGTTCATTGCAGCGTTAATCTTTGTGAATTATTACATTTGGGCCAACAGTGACATGCGGCATGAGATTTAAGATCATCAGAGCACGATTCTTATTGTTTTTATTTCTAAACTGGGGGACTGTCGCACTAGCGCTGTAGTTTTTGTGATACTTGTTGTTTCTGCAACTTTCTTGCTTAAAGGCAAACCCCGGGATTAGCCCGACTAGTAGGAGGGATACCACGGGGGAAATTGTAAGGTCCGTACTGGATCACTCCAGCTTCGTCGCAAAAACTGCGCGGTTAGGGCGCTAGTCCTTACGGGCCCGCAACCATCGACTCCCTTCCAACACATCCCACCCGCCGCGAGAGGTGGTGAGATCAGCGGTGCATTGATGAGAGATCACCGTGCTCTCTCAAACGACGTGCTCTTCGCGTATTTTGCCTTCTTTGACCACCCTTTCTCGCCATCGTACCACATTCTACCCTACTGAAGGTTAAGGCCTTAATTGCAGCGTTCCCAAGGATTTCTCTTGCTTTCCTTTCCACTTTCAGGTCGTTCCGCAGCTAAGCTATCACCACAAAGCGCTGATAGCACCTGCTCAATCCCGGAGTTCCGTAGGATAAGGAACGATGCTACTGTAGCTCTATAAATTTTAGTCGGGATGGTTTGGTCCGCTGCAGTCGGAGAGTCAAAGCTACTTTACGTGAACATGAGCATGTCGTTGAGTGTATTGAATGGGCTCCGGACACTGCATTGGCGCCTATCAGGACAGAAGGTTTGCTAATTCATTCAATTCTCCAGCGATTCTTTTTTAGGCCGATATATTCCAGCGGAACGTGGCATTTTGAGCGACTTGGCATATTAACTCTCCGTATAGAACACGGGGGGGTCACCTTCGCTATCCATTCCTGATGTGAATCACCGTCACTCGTGAATCGCTGTCCTCAAAAACCATTTTTTAACGCCCACCTTTCAACGTCGACTAGTAGCTGGTTTCCAGTCATTTTCACCGTGTACTGTCTCAGTTTTATTATTCTTGACGGCTGAGTCATGACAGGCATGGAATCGAACATACGGCATTGTCACTGCAGTAGGCTCAAAAACTGTGCAATCGATCAGCGTTACATCGAGCTGTGTAAAATATCCTTCCTGCTGACTATTATATCAAATGATTTTACAGCTGGTCATAAGGCGAATGGTGATCTTGGCGCTGGTCCAACACACGTAGTCGTTAGTGGTTCAAGAGATAAAATGATAAAGGTGTGCTACTGTTCTTTTTTCTTCTGTCTTCAAGTATTGACTGCATTAACGTTGACAGTGTTCAGATTTGGGATGCGTTGACGGGTACGGTGATGTTCTCCTTGATTGGGCACGACAACTGGGTACGAGGGCTGCGCTTCCATCCTCGTGGCAAATTCCTTGTCTCGGTTGCGGATGACAAGACGTTACGAGTTTGGGATATAGCACAGCGACGTTGTGCAAAGACGATTGACGCTCACCAACATTTCGTTACTAGTGTTGGTAAGTGGTTTGCAACTTCTCTAAGCTTTTCCCTTCATTTTTGAAAGTCTTCATTTCTATTTTTTGCATTAGTTCACCTTCCCTTGAAAGTTGATGATGTAATCCTTATTTTTAACATTGTGTTGGAGCGTTCTGTCGCATTAGCCTCGTTGCCTTGAAGTAATTCTAAATAATAATCCGTTGGCAGACATGAGCTGCTTTCGGTTTTCCACTTAGCTTGCTATGGAGAGATGGTCTGATGATGGTACGGCCCAAAAATTGGATTGTTTTGTAGGATCATTCATAGTTAATGCTAGTGAAATGGATAGCAGTTAATCAAGTCATATTCTGCTGGACGATTGCGAGCAACCCTTTAGTTAGGAGCATAGAGCTGTTTTTAGATCCTTGACGACGATTTGCTTGAAAAGTTGCATATTCGAAGCGGCCCAATAATAGCAGCTCTGAGTGGTGCAGCAGTCTGTATAAAAACCTTTGTACGTTTCCATTGACATCTTCTGCCAAACAAGGCGATGTTTGTCTTCAAATTGTGGGTTGACAGAGACGAACCAGTTCTCGGGCACTTATAGCAGTAATGGTGAACGGGAACCCGAATTAGGAAAAGAATCGCAGCAGCATGTATTTAACGAAGGTGGACACGTGTTTCTGTGGAGAATGGCAATTTGTCCGCTGTTGCAGTGAAAAGTTTGATGACTTGAATGCTGTGAAAATGGTAGGAAAGCGTCGTTCCCTGGAGGGGGGGGGGGGGAGGGCGAAATTACTAGTGTACCAATATTTTGGTACATTTTTGACGTCAGTACTTCAGAAATCAATTTCAACCATGATATTATTGGGTTGACCCATAATTTCTGGCCGAATTTCAACTTTGATTTTTTCAAGTTTTATCTTTCCTAAGAACAATTGATCAAAAACATAACCACCATCATAATCACTGATATGCATCCATTTGCTAGGGAACGAATGGATGCATTCCTCCCAGAACGAGAGAAGCTGTGAGATGAAAAGCTCGAAGAGGTCGTTTTTGGGGTGGTTGTATTTACTGACTTTTTCCTCTCCTAGCTGCTGCTTCAGGGGCTGAGGAGGTGATAGTACGATGGAGCAATGTCAGGGCTATACGATAGATGTGGTGTCGTGGTCCAGCCAGTTTCCCTCGAAACGTGGCGAGTTATCTTTGCAATGTGATTTCGGGCGGTCCTCCGGATAAAGGAGATTTTGAGACGTTTCCAACCGTTCTCCCGCACTGCTGCGGCCAACTTCTATTCCATGGTTACCTTCGCAATGCTTGTCTGCATAAAGTGAAATGGTTCTCAAAACGGGATACCCAGCGAATCCAACAAAACGGGGGTCACACCCAATGAAACAGCTCGGGTTTTGGTTGATGTGCTGCGTCCAGGCTGCGAGGTAGCCACCGGGCGAGCCGCGTGTTGTTATCGTAGGGGACTCATGACTCATCTGCACTGGTTG